CAACCATTTCGAAACTATTTGGGGAGCTAGCAACTACCGAAATCTGTCCGTCCTTGCACGCGCCAACCGCGCAGATCCATATGCGTTGTCAAACCTCATAGCAATGGCTTACGATGGCGAGCGGAAGCCAGATGTTGATAAGCCCCTCAATTACACCTTGATTTCGCTGAGAGCAAACAAACTTTCACACTTTTCCTTGGACTGGATCGCTGAGGCGGGCGTAAATTGTCCCTACTTCTTTGATCTCGCACTCAATGAAATACGCAATGTGCACGCCATTTTGCGACCACCTACCTTTACCTGCTTGCATGAGGTGCATTTGAAAGGGAATCCTTTGATCTGCGACTGCAAATTAGCTTGGGTCTACCGCACAGATATGCTCGTGAACACCGATTACTGGACTTGCGCATCGCCAGCGCACTTAGCAGAGAGCGGTTTACAAGGTTTGCAGCGCGCCGATCTCTGCGACTGGTCGCCCGCCTGGTGCCCGGAGAAGTGTACATGCACACGACAAGCCGAGGTGTTGTTAATCAACTGCCAACGCGCGAACTTGCAAGGCCTCACACAGCTGCCACGTCCCGAACAATTGTCGCTTGCGGAAAGCACGCTCTACCTTGAAGGCAACCTTTTCCGCCAGCTACCCTCAAATGGTACCTTCGGTTACGCCAACGTTACTCGCTTGTACGCCGCGCACAATCGGCTCAACATCGTGTTGCCGGCTCATCTGCCGCCTAGCTTGACTGTGTTGGATTTGCGCGCCAACCATTTGGAGCGTTTGAGTGCAGGCTTTCTGCGCAGCTACCTCAACGATAGTGAAACACTTACAGAGTTATATCTCTCCGAAAACCCTTGGTTGTGCGATTGCGAAACTGTACTGCTATTATATACACTACGCGCACAGAGCGCACGCATACCCGACGCTGGCGATTTGTATTGCGCCAATTTTCCCAACGTAACCCTCTTAAATGTGACATTCACCGACGTATGCGTGCTGCCCACCAGCAGTTTGGGTTTGATGTCGCGACTCATTTCCATCTTTCTAACAATTCTGCTGATACTCAGTCTTATTACGCTCTACTACAAATACGAGCTGGAAGTCAAAATCTGGCTGCACGCACACAATTTGACTCCCGTTTGCTTCAGCGTCGACGATCTAGACAACGATAAAACGTTCGATGCCTTCATCTCATATTCGCACAAGGACAAATGCTACGTTAACAACACGCTGCTGCCACAACTGGAGCACGGTGATCCACCATTTCGAATTTGTACGCACGAACGCAATTGGCTTGCCGGCGCCTATATACCAGAGCAGATTGTGGAGTCTGTGGCGCAGTCGCGGCGCACGATCATTGTGCTATCGCAGCACTTCGTCGAATCCGATTGGGGTCGCATGGAATTCAAAACGGCCCATCAATGCGCCGTTAATGAGAAGCGTGCGCGCATTATAATAATCAAGTATGGCGAGATTACAAATATGGCTGGGCTCGATAGTGAGTTGGAGGCTTATTTGCGTATGAATACATATCTGGATTCTGAGGATCCACGATTTTGGCAAAAGTTGCGTTACGCAATGCCGCATAAAAGAGGTGAAGGGCGGAAGGCGGGCATGCTTGAGGTGAGCGGTAGAATCTATGTGAGTGGCCAAGTGGAATTGAACCAGTTGAAAAGCGAAAGAGAGGAGAAGTGAAAATATTGGAACTTTGCACACAAAATATACGCTAAAACGAACGAATCACTTTTATATTTAAATAGAGGCAATTACATATATTATAAATAAAGAGGCTCTGTGAATTGGAAATGTTTGTAATGTTGATAAGTCTTTAAGGGAAATAAAACCATACATTCGATTTGATATTGAACCATGAACTTCGTCTTAAGAAACTATGAGCCATCTGCTCATTGTACTAGGGTCCATAAACACACGCAGCTGTTCTGTTCTCCAGCCTGCACCGAGTGTATTTGGAAAATCAAGCAGGAGCTTCAGCTCACTTTTAACGCATGAGACACAATAGGCTACTCTCTGGGTAGTAACCGGTCATAATCATCTGTCCTTTCATATGCACCGGATTTGTCTGACTAAGCAGGCGACAGGCCGCTCTACAGCCGAGCTATGATTTCGTCTAAAGACTAAGGCAATATTAGCATTTATTAGAAGAGCGCTACTCCACGTTTTACACAGTGGTCGTGTGGTTTAAGGTGCTCACCCCTACTCAGTAGATACAGGATTCAGCATCAAACAATTTTTTTTTTCTAATAGCGGTCGCCGCTCAGTAGGCTATGACACACTGCCGAGTTAATTTTTGCCTTTAAAAAAAGCTTCTCATGTTTATCATTTGTCATTCGGAGACGTCGTTAAACTGTAGGTCCTTATCCTTTGAGTGAATACATCAAGACACTTACCGCAAATTGGAGCAGAATCTTGGACATGCACTAGCCAATGTGTAATCACCATTGCCTCGAAAGTTGCCGGCGAGCTAGTTGAAAACTTTGCTGCGGTTCTGAGTTTTATTGACAACGGCGATCGCATGTATGATAAAAGAGAGCAAGCTGTCGACTTAATCCCCGATACTAGTGTACGTTAGTACTTGGGGTTTCCTCAGCAATACATGTGTTGTTGTTGTTGTTGTTGTTGTTGTGGTTGTTGTAGTGGCTACTAAGCATTGCGAAGATTAAGTTTTCCCTCAATCGTGTTCATCAGACTCAACTAACGGCAGACCCAGGAAGTGTGCCCATCCAACTGAGTTGGTCCATAGCGAAGGTGCGTAAGTTGAATGATGTTTAGGGGACTTACGAAAGCTGTCTCGAGCCGTAAGAGGACTCAAAGGCATGCCGGACACTCATTGGGCACATCTGCATTTATCCTAGTCATGTAGGAGCTCAGCCTGCTGCAATAGCCAGAGCGAAGTTGGGGGAGTCTCCCGAGGTAGATGAAGCTCTGTCTCGTCTACGGCAGGTGGCTGTGTTTCCGGAACGGCACTCACATGTCGGGAGTTGGTGTTTGTCGAGACGACTCCCTGTAAATAACGTTTATGATCTGTCGATACGCTGTCGGGTCTAGAGGATGTTTTATGAACTTGTTCGGTTGATCCGTCTGTGGCACCCTACTGGGAACTGCTTACATAGCATAGTTTTGTGCTCCTTGACGCGCTGCATTTTAGCTGTGCATAGGTGGTGCTGTGGCGATACCAGAAGGCATCCCGTAGCGGTCCGAAGTGCCGCTAGTCCCCGGCGACCGCATGAGCCCTGCATAGTTTAGATGTGAAACACATCTTGTTAGAATATGAATCACAAACAGGAGATTTATATTTCATATACAGACAAACTATCTTGGAATGCTAGTGAAGGAAATGGAAGCTAAATTAGAAGAAAAAGTCTATATTAGGTATGGGCTATCAGGCCACAACGCTACTCATAGCGTCATGTGATTTGATTGGAAGACGGTAAGGGTACTTGTAGCGAATAATCGGAACAGATCGAAGAGTTTAGCCATTACCGCTGAAACACAATGCCGGCGAACGGCGAATTTTTCGCCGCGAATGTTCGCTGTAAAAATTAACACACCCTGTCGTATATGAGAACGCGCACAACCGAAGCAAAGGACCCGACGACTGTTCGCGACCATAGACTCATTTCTGTTGTCGTCGCTGGCGGCTGCGGCAAAATACGATCCATTGTGGCCATATGCTAAATATTCTCAGATTTTTTAAACGAAATTGAAAAATACTGTATTAGTTTTTGTTGAAAATTAATAATCTTGTTTGTAAAAATTTTAATTGTACCTTGTCATAAGCAGCTGAATTCGTCATCGCCGTTGTTGGTGTTTACTGAGCGAATTTTTTGGGCAAAAGTTGCTGCCGTTGTCACTTTACTGGGCGAAAATTCGCCGTTCGCCTGTATTGTGTTTCAAAGATTACTGCCCAACGAGGATTAACAATGCTATTGCTGGACGCCAATATTGAGCAGTCATCAGCATCGAAATAGAATAGAAAAATTTATGAAAATCACGGAAAGAACATCCCTGTACATATAAGAGGTTTTTAATTCTTATAAGTTTCAAAATTTATCATGTGAGTAATAGGGGCAACTGTCCCACGCCAGCCGATTCTACGGACTGAAATTCCTTGCGGTTTTTCGGCCAGCGACTGTGGTATTTGTGACCTTTTTCAGAAATGCCTTTCCAACTGTTTTTTCTTCGATAACTCCCTATTATTGTTTTACGAGATTCTTTGGTCCTCTGTGAAAGTCCCTAAAATTGTCCTACCGTTTATATGGCATCCTTGAATTTGTTTCTCAAGCTTTTACCGGAACTACCCGTCAAAGTTCTTAAACAGAGAATTACTTTAGTTAAAGGATTAGCTATGTTGCTCACAGAACATCTCTTCATATGTCTTAACTGTCTAATTTGAAGCGGCATCACGATGTGTGGTGTACCTGGCATACGCTAATACTAGACATTCGCATTAGGGGCAGACGTCTTCTTTCTTATTTTCGAGATTGACGCTACCGCAGTGGCTATTGCATGGATGAACTATTTTAGCGGCGTGTTCATCAAGGAATCGGTGTCCCAAAAAACGTAGCTGTTATTATGAGCGAGATACCATCCTCTTGACAAGCATGGAAGGTTTTTCGTTCTTGGCTTGCCAGACTTGAGCTTTGATATTTTGCAGATCGTAGAAAGTCTGAATTTTAGGTATATTTCTCGTTGGGACAGTCCGAGTAGACAACGTAATGTCTCTGATTCAGACTCTTCAAGGTAGGCTTCGACTTCTGTCAGTTCGTCAAAACAATCTTTCCCACGCATTAGGGGCAGCTAAGAACATCGTCATGGTGATCAATTAAAGATTATTTCGATATTGAGATTATTTGCTGCAAGCTCTTTTAAAGAATACTCTAAAACGAGTAATTTGACATGCAACTAACCACCATGTTTTCTATATACTTTTTTCAGATAAAAGATGCCTTAAGAGACTAAAACTGGAAAAGGGTCTCCTTAAACTATGACCACAACTCCTGGAATGTTTCGCGCCTCAGCTCAAAATCTGGCTACCTGTCAGTTCTTCTTACTTCTAACAATGAACGCGCTCGCCCAGTCGAATATCTTCTCGACCACTAAGAACCCGTTGCTAACGAAACAGAAAGTCAAACCAAATGGCCCACAGACTGCATTCAAAACCTGCTACGAGGGCAAATGTCAATGCAAAGAAAAAGTGACCAATTGCTATTTGAGTGATCGTAGCGGCGCAGTGATATTTGAAATTACAAGCAGCGCTGAACAGGATACGATAACACTGACCTGTGAGGGCGCGCCAAGAGATATCGATTCCCTTTTGAACCAGATTTCGCATAAGTTCACATTTCATGCGGCGTCCTTTAAGCTGAGGAACTGCGCACAACTACCGAATATGTTGCGGCGTCCCAATGTGACTTACATGGGCGATGTGGATTTCAATACACAAATGTTGGTACCTGAAGAGTTTTTCTGGCACGCAAAAGGCTTACTGACGCTGAGATTTAATATTACAACCGATGACTTGGAAAATAGCTTTCCGCCGCTTCTTTTTCACAATCTAAAGGAGCTAATTAATTTGGAATTGATAATAGTTTCCGATGCTGCGGTGGTCACAATGCCCGAGGAGATGTTACATGAGCTCCATGGTTTGGAAGTGCTGTCTCTATATGTATACCACCTTGAAACTGGTTATTACGAACCGTTGGATGCACGGCGCACGACCGTACGCAACTTAAGCAGCGCACATTTTCGCGATCTATGGGCGCTAAGAAGCCTGCTACTGGACGCAAATAACCTGCAGACGTTGAACGATACTATGCTTATGCCATTGCGCGAATTGAACCAACTGGGCTTGAGCCTGAATGGCTTAGAACAGCTGCCTGCAAATTTGCTTGCAACGCAAAGCAAGCTGGTCGTAATAGACTTGAGCATGAACGAGCTAACATCACTGCCGCTTGGTATATTCAAAAACACGCCACTCCTTTGGAAGCTGCAGCTAGCCGAGAACCGCTTCAAAATGCCCACGAATATTATAGAGAGTGTGCGGCCGCTACGTTATCTCCACCAACTCGACCTGAGCAACAATCAACTCGTGCAGATTTGGGGCACTGGTAGCCTAAGCAACCGCTCGCTCTTGACGCGCACTAACATTAGCGCACCACTGGAAGTGCCACAGTTCGCAACGTATGTGAGCTGGGAGCGCGGCGCATTCAATGAGCGCCAAATCAATCTTACTTCAATCAATCTGCGTAAAAATCGCATAGCGCAATTCAACTTGGACTGGATCGCCGTTGGCGGGCTGACTTGTCCCTACGAGCTCAATCTGCTCAACAATAACATAAAAAACATTTATGCTGCCATACAGCCGTTGGGCAGTACCCACAGATGCAAACGTCGACTGATGTTGCAGTTCAATCCACTGAACTGTGATTGTAGCCTTGCGTGGGTCTATAGCAGCAACTTGCTTACGCGATATGAACAGTGGACCTGTGCAGCGCCGCCGCGCTTGCAGGGAAAACTGCTCAATCAGCTGCAGCGCAGCGATCTCTGCGCTTGGCCGCCCGCCTTTTGTCCAGAACGCTGCAGGTGTTCGTACGAAAGGATGTCATCGCTGATTGTCAACTGCACAGGCGCGCAGCTGCAAAGCATCTTGCAGTTACCGCGTCCCGAGCAATTTGCGCTTGCTCGTACAACACTTTACCTCGAGCGCAATAGCTTTTACGAGCTGCCGGCGAATACGACTTTCGGTTATGCCAATGTGACACATATTTATGCGGCGCATAATCGGATCGCCTTTATTCTACCGTCGCATATCCCATCGAAGCTGTCAGTGCTCGATGTGCGTCACAATCGGCTGGAGCGCTTGAGTGATGATTTTCTACGCTACTACCTCAACGAGAGCGATACACTGAAGGAACTCTATCTCTCCGATAACCCTTGGTTTTGCGATTGCGAATCGGAGCTACTGTTGCGCGCTGTGAGCTTACAGCGTTCACGCATACCTGACGTCAACGAATTACGCTGCGCTAATTTCGCGAACACGCCACTACTAAATGTTACCTTCTCAGCAGTATGCACAACTCCCTTTAGCTATGTTAGCTTGCTAGCACTGCTCATTGCCATCTTTTCCACAGCAGTCGTTGTGCTCTCACTGATCGCACTCTTCTACAAATACAAACTGGAGGTGAAAATTTGGCTCTTCGGGCACGACATGTTTCTGTGTTGCATCAGTGAACAGGAGCTAGACAAAGACAAAACATTCGATGCGTTCATTTCTTACGCCCACCAAGATCAACACTATGTCAACGATACACTGCTGCCGGGTCTGGAACAGGGTCGCTCGCCATTTCGTATTTGCACACACGAACGCAATTGGCTCGCTGGTGCTTTTATACCCGAGCAGATAATAGAGTCGGTCGAGCAGTCGCGTCGCACGATTATTGTGTTGTCGCAGCACTTCGTCGAATCGGATTGGGCTCGCATGGAATTTCGTACGGCGCATCAGTGTGCACTGAATGAGGGTCGTGCGCGCATAATCATTATCAAGTATGGGGAGCTTACGAATTTGCAGCAGCTAGATAACGAGTTGCAGGCCTACTTGAAACTAAACACCTATTTGGAGTGGAACGATACGAGATTTTGGAATAAGTTGCGCTTTGCAATGCCGCATAAATTTGGTGAGGGACGAAAGTCGGGTATGCTGGAAGTTAGTAGGAGAGTTTATTTGACGGAGGAAGTGGAGTTGAATGAATTTCAGCAATAAATGAAATTTAAAAACTATAAAAGGAAAGCGTTTACAATAACATATATTTGATAAAAGAGAGTGTAGTATAGTTTAAGAAACCAAACTCGCCATCGAATTGTTACGAATTAAGTAAATAAACAATTAAAAGTATTTTAAACAATAAAACTCGCAAACGATAACTGCTTGTACTCGTCTCTACGTTTATTCTTCAACTGACTTGAATGCAACGTCGTCGCAGATAGTGTAGCCTCAATAACTCAATTTAAAATATATCGGAACAAAGATGCCAGTTAGTTATAACATCATAAATATTACATATGCAATTTGTAACGCTGCCATCTCTATAAAAAGCCGATTCAGTTGTCCTAACAGAATCAATAATATATATTTGTGAGGCCAATCTTAGCGATATATCAGAATCTTACCTTCACGAGACCTGAACAGCTTTCGGGAAAAATGTGATATGTTCAATATTATTGCAACCAACATTCTTCAAAAAGATACGTCTTTTATCGGACATTTTCAAGATTTTCTGGTGCTTTTACGGGACTGACAGAAACTTTTTCGGAACTTTTCGGGACTTAAGTTTTTTATTTTTTGGGATTTTTCAGAACTTTTCGGAATGCTTCGTATTTTATTTTTCTGTAAATTTAGGGATTTTCTTATGCTTTTATGGAATTTTTTTTCGAAATTCGGAGACTTTACGGATTTTGTGCAGGTCTCTTAGAATTATTATTTTTTTGTTTTTACTTTTAGTGACCATTTCAGCTGTTTTTTGTGAAGATTCGTAATGAGGCCTATTTTTATACCATTTATGTAGTTGGTTGATTCAGATCATTTAGCTAGAAATAGTACCATTAGGAAGCATTATAGTTTGCAAATTTTCGCCGTGCTTAAGTCAGACGTACAATAGTAATGTTGTAAACACCGCACCATAAGTCAGACATAGGTCGGTCAATTAGAAGAAGTTCGTTGCGCGTTGCCAGTGGTATACCCTCAAAATCGAATCTGAGGAGATCATCCATCGAGCAGTAATGATCTGGTAGTCGATTACCAATTTTTAGAAATAGCTCTTTCGAGTAAACGCCACTACCTACTCTTCGGTTGAGTTTTTTCCATTGGCTCCTCGAGGTACGCAATTCTTGTGGTGAAGACATTTTTAACGGCGAAAGTGGAAACTTTATAGTTCGGCTACTTTAACTTTGTTGCGCAGGTGTCTACAATTTTGTAATGGTTCAATGTCGTGGCCTTCCATTTATCCAATGTGGGCACCGAAATTGCGCATATGGAAAGTATTTACCCTGACTGCTCTACTGCTCGCCTGTAGTTTACCATAAAGCTCCGTAGCGAAAAAATTTCGTGCGATTTCTAAAGCTTTAGCCGGCGTGAAGGTTCAGTTTTAAACATTTGCACCGCTCTCTGCAGTGCACTCCCCGTGGCTTAATGTCCCATTTTTTCCTTTTTAAAAGTAGATTTAGAGGAATATGGGATAGTTATGGTTTCTTTGGTTTTTTACTCGGTGTTCCGTATCCAAAAAAGCTTACTACCCAAGAACATGCCCAGGTATCTAATTGCATCCGCCAGAGTCAGTGTAACGACATTCAGCGAAGGAAATCGGAATAGGGGTAGTTTGGTTTTTAAATTGCCACAACTTTTAAGGAATTTTGTATAAGTTCGTGCAAAGCCTAAGGGCCTAAGTAGGTCATCCGCGTACGCTATGGATTGACAGCCCGTGGCCTTTAAGCGTAGTAGAAAACTGTTCATCGTCGGGTTCCGTAAGAACGGGGAGAGCACACCTTCATGTGAAGCGCCTCTTAAAGCATATCTGGTGACTGATATCATGTGGGTAGGTATGAAAGGATATTTACTAGCAGAAGTCATAAATCAGGCACTCAACGTCAAATGATGTCAAAGCATAATATGGACTTCCTCTTTCTAAACACAAAGGAGTTTCCATACAACCGAGGGTGTTATTTAGCGATCAAGTGGAATGCAAAATATTTGCGGAGATTATTAAAGACACATAAGCGAAAGAGGATAAAAAATAGAAATATGTGCAAGAAAAAATCGCTAAAGGAGTAATACACATACAAGAACACACATGAGCATTAGAAGACTTTAAAGCAAAATAAGAAATATGCGACGCAAAATGGAGGTGGGGAACTTATTGACAAAGCTGCCACAACAATTTGTCATGCATACGCGCGCGCATACGAAAGCTTCTTACGACAGGACACAATCGCAAGGCGCCACGCAGCATACCTACTACTCGCATAAACAGCAAAAGGATATCTACAGAAAATGTGAGCAAGGAGTTGAAATATTTCTGCCACTGTGGTTGCTGTTCTTGCTGCCATTGAGAATGCAAATAAATCATTTACGTTGCAAATACACTTGAAATAATTTCGCATTTGTATCGACTGAAGGAGTAGTATAGCAACTCAGAACTGTCAAATGCACGCGGGCAGACAAGGATGTCAACTGCCTGCCATTAGCTTAAGCCACAAATGCTGGCAAACACGTTGGCGTGCAGCTTATTCTAATACGTGAGGGAGGCGGAGGCGGCCGAATGAGTTGCGTGCGGCGTATATAAATCAAAAATTGCATTTCTTCTTTTCGCATTTGTTTATATGAGGTGATATAACCGCGAGCGCCACTTATCCGATTGTGTGTCGGAAATACTCCTTTTATTGGATCATCTTAAATTGTGCGTAAATTGGTTTACTGTAAAATTTAGGATTGGTTTTTTTCTCGAATGTAGTATATGTTGGAGATGCTATTGATATCCCCATTACTTTATGAAGTCAGAGAAGGAGAGATGAACTTTCAAGTATTCTGTTGTATCGGTTGACAGGCGGTTGGTGTCTACCTTAGGCAGGTTCTCAGATATTTCTGTTCCCATAAGATGTCTACAGAGATATTTAAATCCTTATCAAATGAAGTTAGGATAGTTAAAAGCGATCATCAAGCTCCTTAAAATATATGTAACAATAAAGGTCTGAAACGATTTCCTAACGGATGCCTAAGACGCTCCTATGGCCACCTAAGGTCAATCGCTAGCCCATAATGCCTCACGAATTTGTGGCTTCGCATGTATTTCTTCTTGGTTAACGCTAAGTGGATTAGAAGCCTAGAGTAGCTTACTTACTGTCAAAGGAACTCCTAACACATGGTCTATGGAGAAACGATATCGAGGGTGTTCTAAGTTGTCACTTCATTGGCCATGCAGTTTTATGCAAAGTCGTTTTGAACCAAACGCAATGTTTTCAAAGTATTCAGGAGTAGTGAAGAGAGATACATGACTCAAGATACTTTTCAGGATCAAGACCTCCCCCTTTGGAAGCCATAGATACCTCGTTGGGCTGCTTAGAGTGGATTGCTAGCCAAATGTGAATCCGTATTCCAGCTCTCTAAGGACGACTGACATTAAGCACGCTTTCTCTTTGCCTATTCGTTAGCCATGCAATGTCGCTTTGAATCATATCCACTTTTAAACTTACTGACCTATTAAGATTGCTCAATCAATGACCTTAGTGGGATGATTGCAACTTGGCTATCAGAATAAATATTTATCACTGAACAAATTTAGTGCCTAGCCACATTTCTCTTGGTCGATTGTCCCGATTTTGTTTATTCCTTTATGCCTATAACCTTGAAACATTCAGTTTACCTATTGAGATTAACCCATACAGTCCTCCAAAGTGATAGCGCTGGTGATTGCCACTTTTGGATACTATCGGCTGGTTTCTCCAACTCAACTTAACTTAGTTTAGCCATTTTTTGGACTTACTCGTTTCTCCATCTAGGCCAAGCCAAAAGTTAGCCTACTTTTTAATCAGCTTATTCTTGACTAAGTCCAAAAAATTGCTAAACTATGTGCAGTTGAGTTGGAGAAACAGGCCCTATGTATTTTTGCTTCCGCAAAACCAATCAACAGTTTCCGTTTATTGAACTCAGCTGATTTTTTTAACAATGCATTGTTAGGTTAGCGTTGGCTACCACACAAGCCCTCCAGAAGAAAGTATGGGCCATCATCTAATCATTAGACTATAAACATGGCCTCAATACCACTTTTCGAATAGTACGCTCGTGACTGTAGAGAGAGCTAGCGAGGTCTTCGTGGCTTATTATCCAATTTCCACCTAAATAGGCCGCTCTGTGTGTCTAAGTTCGCAGCAGATGCGCCATCTCCAGGAAGAGTTTAAACAGGTTACGTCCGCTGTACCTGGCGTGTTTATGAAGGTGGTCGGAGGAAATTCGGCACCACCGCAATACTGCGAGATTTTTTGATGGCAGAACGGCAAGCTTTACATTTCGAGTGCCAGGCCAACTTGAAGAAAATTTTCTCCGGAGCCTAAGCAGGTGTTCATCAAATACACAATCAAAAAAATGGACTAAACTATATTGCGAATGTCAGACTACTCAGAAAACTTAAAAATTGTATGTAGTCTCACAGGAATTCGAAAGACAAGATCAATTGAGAAGAATTTGAACCAACCCCTGTCGTGGGCTTTCGTATGACGTGACACCCTATGATGTATTAGGTGTCGTACAAAAACGTTCGACATGGGGTTCAGTGTGTTTAGCGTGTGGTGTGTGGTAATGAACGGGCGACTGCCATGTAAAAGGATCCATTGGCTCTAGTTGAAGAGGACAAACAACTTGGGAAAGGCAAACTGGAAGTGGTGGAGAATAGAGATCTCCCACTGAGTCAATGAGATCGGGTCTGGCTTACTTCGGAGCCTCTCTTAAAGATCTTTTGGTACTGCAATCGGCTCCTTCCATCGCATAATTGGAAGATAAACAAACTTGACAAGTCAAAGGCGCCCTATCGGCAGGCGCTGATTTTGTAAAACCTAGAGTCTCACGAGTTTCTTGCTGAAACCGAATGGGCATCGGCTATGATTTCGAATATGGGAGTCATAGAAGTTAAGTCAGTAACTTAAGAGTGCCGAGGATGCTCGCTTGAGTATGGATGTACTATCCGCCTTGACAAGCACCGACAGTACTGATGACCC